GAAATGGAAAGAAGATGAAGAGGAAGTTTAGAAAGGAATCAATTAACAGCAAAGGTAGAGCAAACAAGTTCTACAAAAAAGACTTAACCTTACAAACATCCCACAAGATCCTTATGACGATTTATTGAGATACTTAATGATTTGACCTCTTAATATTTTAGATCATAAAACTTTAGTCACTTGCACATACAGAAGAGACAGGAATTGAACGGATTGCACAATGCAATGTTATCATTAAACACAGCATCGGCAACTATATGGACTCGGCCTCTACAGTTGATATGAAACTATGAAAGGGTTAATTGAAAAAATTTCCCTTGCATTGCATGATTTAATTATAGTTGTGGCAACCTTTCGTTGATAGGCATGCAACTTCCTGAAACTAAAGTGAAAGATAAGGAGAATTTCGATGTTTGAAGTGAATGCCCTCATGGCTACCTGCTCTAGATGAAGGGCCTTTGGTCGAAACGTCGAAATTTCCTTATATTTTTTAGGTAGTTGCATTGCTACAAACGAAAGCTTCAGTAATTTAATACTGGCATTACCTACACTGGTAAAGCCAGTTCTACTGAATTTGCAGTTCCTGTAGTTTATACAAAGCAAATGTGTGGTCCATTGCAGGCAGAGGATAAGTCGAGTTAACTTCATGCCTGCACTGTAAAATGCAAGGAGTTGTATCAATTCCAAAAGTCAGTGTTATTCTCTCACCAAAAACGATGACAAGTTAGAGTGGATTCAAGTCCTTGAAATTTATAGTGTGTAAATTAAATAGTATGAGAATTGAAAGTTTCGAGCAAAGGCCTGGTTCAGGACAAATATTTGTAAATATTATACCGTTTTGGGCATAACGGCTTGAGCGATGCAATTTCCAGAGCTCTGTTTACAATTGCGCAAAATCATGCAGGGTAATGATTCCACCAGTGCGGATTTATTATTGTCTTTCAAAATACAATTCACACTATGTGTGGCGAAACATGGCGAAGAGGTGGGTTAAGCAAAAATCACTATGTTAACCTGAGTTAACCAAGTGATGTCCACCAGACAGCACGGCTGAATGTGACTATAGTTGAAAAGAAAATTAAGGTATTGGAATAATTCCTTAATCTTTGAAATTCTTTGCGATAATTAACGAGTTCCCTCTTATGGTAGTTGTTGTACTTAACACATGCTTATCAGTTATTATAGCACACTAGCTCCCGAATGTCTCAGATGGAAGGCACAAAATTTACCACTAACAAGTAAGTGTAAAAAGTGTTTGAAATGCCAAATAGGTATAATATTCTATCCTGAAACATGCCATTTTACACATGTAAGCGCACGCTGCACAATCTATATAGCTGGGAAATTAATGCATGGTTTATATAGAAAAAAAAATGGTGATTAAATCAACTGTGCATGCTTTATGTTGTAGCTGATTCCCATACACATCTTTTATAAAATAGGCCATTTTGTTTATAATTCAAAGAAGCAGTTAAAAGGCTGCAGGTTACGAACTTGGACGTTTTCTCCAGCAGATAAGTACATGGATCAGAGTTAAAAACAAAATGTAGCTGGCTGTAATATTTTTTGACACTGAAACAGTATCAGACCAGCTGTGAATCAAGTAACTATACCACGGTAACCGCATAAGAAAATGGTTGCAAAAAGTGCTGTGTGTAAATTCAGAATTGAAACAGAGCGTGTCTCGCACGGCCATGGTCTTCGAGTATGGTTTGAAAACCATTATAATGTTATACTATATCATACATGCATGCCACTCCATTTTACTCAACTATATGCTTACCTATAGTTCGTTAAATTAATCAAATAATCCTATATTTTTCTAATTCTCTTATCGACCAGTTCTGGAAGATGCATGATGCATATGGCAGAGTTTAAGAGCGGTCGTCAGTAAATATTGCCTTAGGTGTGTAAAACGTGAAATATCAAAATCTCACAAACTGTGTCAAAATAAAAGTCTTTGGGTAGTATGTAAAGAAAAACAGTCTAAGGTGAAATGGATTTATATTTTAGGCACACGGCTACAATAATAGAGTTCAAGGCTCTGAAGGAGACTTTACCGTGATTTGACCACAGTCGTTTGAAAGCTCGTTTAAAAATCCTGAAACTTAATATAATCAAATAATTGAAAGTTTCTCAATAATGTAACTGCTTCACATTTCAAGGGGGTTGATATTTGACTTACATTTAATATAGAATATTTTACAGATTTTTCGATGTTATGCTTTTTGGAGAGATTTTTTGTTGACGGCTAAAATCACCACTGATATGTCTCTAGCGGTAACCAAATTATAATCCAGCATTAGTTCGATTCCTCCTCTTCAAATACATGTTAAAATATTTTGGGGCCGTTCAATATTTTGCTTTTTATAAAGCGAAACAAATATACACTAAACGAGCTCCAAATGTCGAATAAATTACTGCAATGCGAAACTGTCAATTCACAACCAATGTAAGAAAAATATTTTTTGCCTGCAAAAGTGCTTCATGCAAAGTTATTGTCCACCTTAGAAGTAAGAGGAACACACTCATTAACATTCTGTCCAGTTTATTAGTATCTTTGCGTTTGTAGGGCTAAAACAAAATTCACCAGCTGAGATTATCTCTTCAAAATTTCCAGGACAGCGATGATTTGAATTCACAACAACAACAACAACAACAAAGACGTCTGCATGACCCCATGATCAAGGTCACCACTGTCTCGGAAAGGTCAAATTACATCAAGATAAAAATAGGTTACGCGTCAAGATAAAAATATAGTCTTGAGTTTTTTTTATACGTGGAGTCTGCGAAAAGTTGAATACCGATTGGTGATTCTATGAATATCTAATCTAAATGGCTACTTGCGGGTACTCGAGATTTGTCAGCGGGCAGTGCGGTTCAAGTAGGGATTATCCCGACGATCTTTCCTGTTTGACAATCGAAAAATTAAAGGGCACCTTAATTTCTTGGATGTCAGAGATGCGAATTTAAAGACCGAGGCACAGCTTCTATTAGCTCGAGCAGGTATGAAATGCAAGCAAACAAAACCCATATATTCGCTGGTACAATATTCGTTAGTCCTGTCATAAATTGCTATCGATGGTTAGCATTTGACACATTTGTATATGGCCATGGGAACTAATACATTCTTTTGCGATGTAAGTAATGTTTACAATATTTTAATTTTGGGATAGGTAATAGGACCTCTACATGCGTCTTGGACCTGTGGTGTACTTAAAATCATTATTTATCTAATGGATTACTGTTATTTTCAACGGGGTCTTGAAAGTAGACCATGCCGTGAAACATTGTATAAAAGGTGCACGCGTTGTTTTGTGTCTCTTTTTGTCATTCCATTGTAGAAATATCGTGATTGAAGTTAGCATGTGCTGTATGTAAAGTTATTACTTGGTAATTGATAGGTGTAATTTGATGATGCACATGAATTTATCGATATCACAGGGTCGGATTTGACCATACTGCGATGTTGTAAATTAGGAATTGGTAACATGACTTGTGATTGTGCGCTATGTAATTTTCCTGTATCTCATTTCAGTAAAAGGTTTTCTTAAATATATCTTCACAGGGTCTGGAAAGTAGACCATGCAGTGAGATATTGTAAGCTTAATCCTTGTTGTTAACTGTGTATTCCATAATCTGTCCGTCACATGTGGTTAAGTCTATGTGAGGATTGTAGGTTTATCCCTTAGTATTGAAGTATGGATGCAGTTAGATTATGTACATACTCACAGGGTCTTGAAAGCAAACCATGGCGTGAGATATGCATGTCACGAGTCCTATGGTTTGTGTCATGTATCTAACTATTGATAGGTAGAATAAGTAGTTGTTGTACAATCTACAAAAATACGGTTTGTAGAATCTGGCAGAACATTTAATTATGCCACAAGGGTAAACTTTATTTAAAATTGGGGTCTTAGACTAATCATCCCAGATGTTTTGTAAAATGGCGCCCAGGGTCTGGCAAACATTTTTGTGACTGCACAGTATGGCAGTCATTACGTATAGTATGTACCATATAGGTTAATACCTTTAAGTAATATATATAATATATAATAGGGACTGATTGCCCAAAGCAGTCCGAAGCAGTCCTAGCCAGTTCCGCGTTTCAACGTGGTGTGAATAGGTGATATATTCGGTCAATATCATTAAAAATGACTGTAAAGAAAGGCGAACATGGGTCGAACGGCATGCGGAACGGCCCTGGACAAACTACCCCATTGGTTCCACAAAATTACATTAAGGAGATAAGTGGATGGTTTTGGAGAGATGTTGTGATTTTTAATGAAACATTGAATAATGATGTGATTGTGTATTGGGGCTATAGCAAACTTCACAGAGTCTCGGGTTGACCATGCTTGTGAAGTATGTTAGCGGATGGTATATCATATGGAAGATACAGTATATATAGTTGTGTTAATTGTACTTTTTCATTTGTTTGGCCCTCGACGCGTTTCGGTCTCTTGACCTTCATCAGGAGGGGCTTTTAGGGATGGGAGTCGATGTTTTGTTGGTTAGTGGCGTGAAAAATGGTAGTGAGATTGGTGTTGTTCATAATGAGTGATGGAGAAATGGTGAGTGGTAAAATGATGGAAAACAATGAAACATTGATGAAATAAATATGAAATAAATGATAAAAAACATTGGAACCCAGAAAAATCTTAGTTTAACTATCTTAACGTAAAAGACTTACTGAATGATTTGTTTGGTGGCAGTCCGCATCGCCCAGCCATTTTACTGCTGGGGTTGACTATTTTCAATTCCCCCGAGTACGTTATCCTTTTATTTTTTGGTTGTTCGCCAAATGTGCGTATTCAAGAATGGGTGTTGTGCCCTTGAAGTCCAGTTTTAGTAAGTTGTTCTTGAATAGTTGACGTCATGTGGTTTGGTAGCGTGCATGTTTGTCAGGTGTTAATTAGGTATCAGTTTGTATGTATAATTAGAGTGTGATGTGCCGTGGGCTAAACTGATAACCAGGGAATGTGTAAAAAAAAAAAAAAATTTTGTATAGACATAAGTGTGAGAATTGCTTGTCTGCCCCCAGAGCTAGTTGGTGAAGGAGGGAATTGAATTGGACCAGGCATATGCATTTACAAAAAATGCATATAAAACATAAAAAAAACACATAAACACTCGTAGAAATATTAATAGTATTATGTACATCATGATGCGTATTTATGTTATTATATACAAATTGTCGCGCGTGCATGGTAGGATCCATATACATATTGTGGTATATACACCGACTGTGTATATGAATTTAATTAATTAGGATTTCATTTTCCTTTGTTTAAACCTCGGTGATGTGATGTGATGTAGATGGGATGCAATTGTCCCTATAGTTTGTAGCTATTTGATTTATAAATAATATGTATCTCTAAAGAGTGAGAAAGGCTTAAAAAAGAGTAGCAGTAGGCTGAAAATTATGAAAAAGTTCATCGTCGAATTTTAGTTATCTGATGGCACGATAAGTTTTTTGTTGTTGATTGCAGGAAAAAAAAAAAATTCCAACTAGATTGCAAGAGTCTTCCTTATATCTCTTGTTTTTCTTTTGTCCCCCCATCATCATGCCTTTTTTGTTTTGGTATTGTCTTCAGACATCATCATTCTCTATCTTGGTCTTTGGTGTATGTTTTCAAATAAGCATGACAGCA